ACACATACACATATACATACTTACACATACACATTATATACACATACACATATACATACTTACACATACACATTATATACACATACACATATACATACTTACACATACACATTATATACACATACACATTATCAATCAATCAATCAATCAAATTTTATTTATAAAGCGCTTTTCATACATAAGATGCAACACAAAGTGCTTTACAGTTTGGTTAAAAACAATCCCGCCGACCCAAGACCCCTCCCCCAGACCACCCAACAGACCCTACCCCAAACCACAGACAAACACACACACACGTGCTCATGAACACTCATACACACACACACACACACACACACACACACACAAGTAAAACAATAAAAACATGATGAGAGACTTGGCAGGGTTCAGATGCAACCAGCTGAAAAAGCGTCATCCAAGGAGCCGTCTGCACCAGGAGCAGAGAGCCGCCCGTAGCCACAGGGGACGACACAGGACCCAGAGGAGACATGAAACCGAGGCCCCAGGCCCCCACCAGGCCCAAGAGTCCGACCCCCGCAGCCACACCGACCACTGCTCCCGGTGCAGAGGGCTCCTCCAGAGGAAACACTGGGTACACTAAAAACAATACAATAAGTAAAACACTAAAATGTGAGACTAAAAGGAACACACAATACATGAATAATAGCAATATAATAAATAATAAATAATAAAATATAAATAGAATGGAATAATAAAAACTAATTAAAAGCTAATCTAAAAAAGTGTGTCTTGAGCCTACTTTTAAAAATATGAACGTTCTCTGTGGCCCTGAGTTCTTTATATTATATATATATTATATACACATACACATATACATACTTACACATACACATTATATACACATACACATATACATACTTACACATACACATTATATACACATACACATTATATACACATACACATTATATACACATACACATACACATACACATGATATACACATACACATTATATACAGTACACATACACATATACATACTTACACATACACATTATATACACATACACATATACATACTTACACATACACATTATATACACATACACATTATATACACATACACATACACATACACATACACATACACATGATATACACATACACATTATATACAGTACACATACACATATACATACTTACACATACACATTATATACACATACACATCAAGTCAAGCAGCGAACATCGCGTCCGCGCTCCTAACCAGAGGGTAATGTAGTCACCAGGGTTAGTTTCTATGTTTTCTGAGCGAGCATTCAAATAGTATGGGCGGATTTTTACCACATTTTCAGTAAAGTTCAGGAATGGGAGAAGGAACAAGTTGTTACGTCTTGATCTGGATCAGCGTCTGGATCCAGGGTAAGTAAGCAATCTTTATTTATATAGCGCCTTTCACAGACCAGAGTCACAAAGTAGTTTACAACTGTTTTGGGCACAGAGATGGCAGAGAGGTCGCCAGTACAGGAGGCACATGCCAGACCTAATGTACATGTTTTTGGTGGTAGGGTAAACCGGAGCACCCACAGGAAACCTTCGCAGACACAGGGAGATAATGCAAACTTCACTCAGAAAGGCCCTGTTCTGACCGGGATTCGAACCCATCGTGCTACCCAGGATCGGCTCTCTACAAGTACTGTCAAAGACCAAAAAGGTGTTGAAGGCGCTGAAATCTTGCCAGAGACACATTCAGACCCAGAGCATGTTGCTTTCCTCAGCTGCTTCTATTTCGGCAATGAATGGATTTCCTTCTAACGATCTGTTCTATACATCACTTCTACAACTGAAAGATAAGAAAATAATCCTGTTAGAGGGAGTCCAATTTGTTTCCAACAGTAAGTACCACAGCAGCATTTGATTGTAGTAACCTCAAAGGACTTCACAAAGTTGTGGATGTGCCAACAACAGATCCGAGAAACAGTTCAAAAACAGGAAACACTACGGTAAAAACAGATTGAGCCATTGGTCTTTTGAATGTGCTGGAAACGGCTGCAAGTCCTAAGTGTCTCTGAAACAGTTGTTTTGTGTTTTACATTTGTTATTTTTCTTGCTTTATTCTGCCTGAGATGTTGCTGCAGTACAGTGTTCATGGTTTTACACTGGTCCAGACCAGAGCGGAGAGGATTCATGGTCCGAACAAAGCGTATCAGGTGAAAATCCGCAGGAGGAATGCTAACTTTTTGAAAAATGCTAATGAAGCATTTAGCATTTCACTTTGGACCAGAGCAGAGAAAATGGTCCGAACCAAGCGGCTACTCCACCTCTGCTGCTGTGACCTGAAGGACTGTTGCATTTTATTATTACTATTGTTAGCTTTTTAGAATGACCAATTTATTTGTTTTGTTTATGTGTTTTTGCTGCAGTACCACTTTTGGCCTGATTTTAACATACTGCTCCTTTAAGTCGGTCTACATATTTTGTTTTTTTTTTGGTTTTTGGTAAATGAGAATCAGAGTTTAAGCATGAGAGGAGTGAGACCTCTTCTTCTCGCTGCCTCCACTTCTTTCACATCACGTTTCTGCTCGACTTCATAAACCCTGAAGTCGATCTCATTGGGAGCTAATCTGTCTGTCAGTCTGCACCAAGCCACGAGGACCGCGGACCGCAGACTGAGACCCGTCCAGGGGAAGCACCAGACAACACACACTCGGGACGACATACACACACACACTCGGGACGACACAAACACACACTCAGGACGACATACACACAGTCAGGACAACACACGCAAAGACACACGAAGGAGACACACACACACACACACTCAGGAGGACACACACTCAGGACGACACACACACAGGAGGACACACACTCAGGCGTACACACACTCAGGACGACACACACACACACTCAGGAGGACACGCGCTCCTGACGACACACACACACACCAAGGACACACAAACTCAGGAGGACACACACTCACTCAGGAGTACACACACTCAGGAGGACACACACTCAGGACGACACACACACAGGAGGACACACACTCTGGCGTACACACACTCAGGACGACACACACACACACTCAGGAGGACACGCACTCCTGACGACACACACACACCAAGGACACACAAACTCAGGAGGACACACACTCACTCAGGAGTACACACACTCAGGACGACACACACTCAGGACAACACACACACACACACTCAGGAGGACACACACTCCTGACGACACACACACACACACCAAGGACACACAAACTCAGGAGGACACACACTCACTCAGGAGTACACACACTCAGGAGGACACACACTCAGGACGACACACACACAGGAGGACACACACCCTGGCGTACACACACTCAGGACGACACACACACACACACTCAGGAGGACACGCGCTCCTGACGACACACACACTCAGGAGTACACACACTCAGGAGGACACACACTCAGGACACGCACACACACACACCAAGGACACACAAACTCAGGAGGACACACACTCAGGAGGACACACACCCTGGCGTACACACACTCAGGACGACACACACACACACACACTCAGGCGGCACGGTGGCTGAGTGGATAGCACTCTCGCCTCTCAGCAAGAAGGTCCTGGGTTCGAATCCTGGTTGGACCAGGGCCTTTCTGAGTGGAGTTTGCATGTTCTCCCCGTGTCTGCTCCGGTTTCCTCCGGGTGCTCCGGTTTCGGAGCGTACAATAGGTCTGGCATGTGCTTCCTGTACTGGCACCCCCCACTCCCAAAAATAACAATTGTAAACCGCTTTGAGACTCCGATGTGCAGTGAAAAGGCGGTATATAAATAAAGATTACTACTACTACTACTACTCAGGAGGACACGCGCTCCTGACGACACACACACTCAGGAGTACACACACTCAGGAGGACACACACTCAGGACACGCACACACACATACTCAGGAGACACACACTCGCAGTCGGAGGTGCTTTCCAGAGTCTACAAATCTGACACGAGTTAGAGACAAATTACAGGAACGAGGTTTGAGCTGCTAACACTTTCCACTCCCGGCTGCGGAGAAGAGGCCGATGGTAACAACACAGACTGAGGCTTTCAACACACTGCTTCCTGATGAGTGATGTAATGGGAGGACTACACTGAGGCACATGTCAGACTGTACAACAAACACAGCTGAGCCAGTACATGTGTTAAAGGCTCTCTCCAAAAGCTAAAACTTAAAATATAGTTAAGAGATTTGTTTTTCCAAATATTCTCAAAAAAAAAAAGTGAACAGTGTACTATTTATCACCTGTAGTAATAGTTAGACATATGTTGTGTTTAAAGCTGAAGTACGTAACTTTTAAACCACCAAAAATAGATATGAGTTATATATTACTACAATTTGCATAAATGTGTGTGTCTAGTTTTGAACTTACAAAAGTACTATGAAAGCGAGGCTACAACAACACAACCAAACACACACACACACACACACACACACACACACACACACATTTTTGTTACCTGGTGGGTCCCTTTGACAGGGCCGTTCAGAATGGGACCCATAGACATAATCTTTTTTTACTGGGACTACTTTAAGTAATACAAAACAGTCAATAGAAAACAAACAACTCTTTTAAAGGAATTTTATTTTTGATTTTTTTTTTCGAATTGCAGTAATTCTATTTTTTACATAGAATTTAATGCCACTCCATGTCCGATGTCTAAGGTCATCTGGTGAGGCATTAATGCAGGCCAGGCAGTGAGACTTCCCAGGGACCTTTCCAGTCTGTATGAAAGGTGTCATGGTCTTCTCCACAGCCTTCACCTCAGATGCAGACCATGGCTTTCTTACACGTTCTAGGGAGAGAAATAAAAATATATTAGCAATATACACTCCCAGGGTTAGGACCAAGCAGCCTGGCTGTAATCCCCCACCTGGTACACTTACCAGAAGGGGCACTGCCACTACCATGGGGTGCATCTGGATGAATGGTTGAAGGTTCTCCGCTTGAAGTTTCTTTTAGCCCGTCCGTTTGTGAGAGGATCTCTACTGCTCTCCCTGTCGCACAGAAAATAAAAATACAAGTGGCCTTTAGGGGAAAAAAATCATACATATTTTAATAATATCAAGAATTACCTTCAGGCTCAATTTGTATCTGGTCGAGGCTCTTTCCTTTGAATTCCGTCACTCTTCCCTGCTCCATGGCCATCAACACTTTGCTGATTTTGGCCAGCTCCAGTGTCCCCTCTGGTAGTCTGTAATATTGTCTGTGGATGCGAATGTCATGGCCGAGGAAGTTGGCTAGTATGTCCATTTCATTATCTTTCATATTGAGAACTGTAGACATAGTAGCTATGTGCTTTCTAAGTTTGGTTGAGGATAGCATCTCGGATGCACCGCACCACATTCTTTGGCTACCTGCCGTAGGGAGTCTGATCCCCTGATGTGGGTGTCTGCGCCCGGGCGGGAAAAGGGTATGGGTTATGGTCAGAGATGGAACAGGCCCTTCTGTTCTCCACCAGCACCTCCATCCAAGCAATCATTTCAGGAGTCAAAAGAACCGACTTCTTTTCCCTTTAATTTCAATGCGTTGGAAGTGCTGACACAGCTTTTTCTCAAGTTCGGACAGTCCCAGAGCAATGTCAGAATGGATCCCAGTCTTACTTCTTAAGGTAAACGCTGTCAGTGGCATCTTTGAAACCTCACCTTCCCTTCTTCGATTGAAAATAATGACCTCACAAAGAGTCAAAACTGCCAGTTTAGACCAATGCTTAGACGTTGGCTCACTTATTAGGGTTTGCACATATTCAGGTCGACATACCTCAATATGTGCATGCATGGCTCTAACGTCCTCAGTCAGAGGGAGCAGGTCCGGAGTGTTCCACTTGGCTTGCCGGAGGGTCTGTAGGGCAGCAGAAGAAACACAGACGTCCCACCTCTTCTCAAAAAGCAGCCGGCTTCGTTGGAGGTTTTTAATAAATAGTTCATCAACACAATGCTCCATTTTTGAGTCACATTCAAGAATATCTGCTAGCTTTCTGAGGCTATGGCCGAGTTTGAGGGCCAAGGATGGAGTCTTGTATTGATTTGTTTCCTCATCATATCCAGCCACAGACCTGACTGCATCAATCACATGGTTAAAGTTGGAAGGAATAAAGAAATCCTTAATTGTTTTCAGTTTCCCTGCGGTTTTTGCTTCGTTAATTAACCTACCGACTTCTCTCATTTTCTGCCTAATGTAATCATGCTTAGTCTTATCATGCCCGTGTTTTAAGTACAGATGCTCTCCGAGTCTCAGAATCCCCTTTTCTGCTTTGACAACACCCGTGACCTCATCCTGATGCATTGCCCAAATTAAAGACCACAGCTTTTTGCCGATGCCCTCCGGTACAGGCTGGGCTAGGGAGCAGAGGGACTGGACCCTACTTCTACCTGGTTTAGCCTGGTTTAGCCTGGGCATCTTTCTGTGAAAGCCGGCACCTGGCCACATGCCTCCACAGCGACTTTCGCTTAAGCAATGCCCCACAGTCTATACAGTGCAAAAACTCACTGGATTTAACTGGGCAATTTGGCTGTTTAGCTGGGACTAAAGTTCCAATGCCGGCCTTTAAAACCTCAAAATTGTGCTCACGGTTTCCACTATTCCTGATCAAATCAAACTGAAGTTTACGTGCTTTAGATTTCACAGGTAGAGCCAATGCTCGGGCGGCACGGTGGCTGAGTGGATAGCATTCTCGCCTCTCAGCAAGAAGGTCCTGGGTTCGAATCCCGGCCGGACCAGGGCCTTTCTGAGTGGAGTTTGCATGTTCTCCCCCGTGTCTGCGTAGGTTTCCTCCGGGTACTCCGGTTTCCCCTACCACTAAAAATATGTACAATAGGTCTGGCATGCGCCTCCTGTTCGGCGACCCCGCTCCCATCTCTGTGTGGAGTGAGAGACAAATGCCCAAAAAAATAACAATTGTAAACCGCTTTGTGACTCTGGTCTGTGAAAGGCGGTATATAAATAAAGCTTACTTACTACTTACTACTACGTCACTTTCATTTCCATGTTTTCTAGTCAAATGACGGGACATTTTGTGGCAGGACATTGAACAGTAGAGGCAGAAGTGTCTCTTGCTGTAAACTCTCCCCCCATTTTTCTTCTTTTGCAGCTGCATGATAACAATCTTATTTGCCTTTGGAAAAGAAAAGTGTTTTTGATTTTTCTTTTTCCATACTTTTTTACAGGTTTCTTCTTGACAGTTAAATCGTCAGAATCTGAGTCGACTTCATCAATTAGGGACTCTTGACTAAGCTGCACAAACAACAAATAATTTGTAATAATTCTATATAACAATTTGAAGTCATGACTTGTAGTCAGCACTTACCAGTGGTTTGTAAGCGTGCGCTTCAGTGTGCTGCTCTGTGATTGGCTGCAGCCTAATGAACCACACACTTGCACCTTTTCTAGCCTGACACCTGATTTCCTCTGTTGTGCTGCTCCATGATTGGCTCCAGCCTGCTGGACTGAAATTGCCCCAGTGTGCCCCTCCTTGATATCCCGCAACCCACCACCAGGGTTCCGACACATAACACACTTTTTTCAGGAAAGTAAACCTCCAGGGGTCCTTTCCATATTTTTACAGAGACTGCATAAGGACCGTTAGAAAAGCATTACCCATTGATTATTAAGCTTGGACCAGTGGGGTCCGGTGTTCGGGCCCCACCACGTAAAACCAGTCCCCATGACGTGAGTGGAATCTCAGGTTATGGAACCCACCAGGAGTTGAAAACAAGTGCACACATACACACACACGCATACAAACATGCATACATACATCCACACATAAGCACACACACGCATACAAACATGCACACATACACCCACACATAAGCACACACACACATACAAACATGCACACACATGCATACAAACACATGTTCACACACACACATGTACAAACACATACATGCACCACCAAACATACATACACACACACACACACTCACACACACATGCTCACACACATGCTCGCACACACGCATACAAACATGCACATACATGCTCACACACATATACATACAAACACACACACATACATCCACACATGTGCACACACACACATACAAACATGCACACACACACATACAAACACATGCTCTCACACATGCTCGCACACCCGCATACAAACATGCACACACATGCTCACACACATACATACAAATACACACACATACACCCACACATATGCACACACACACACATACAAACATGCACACACACGCATACAAACACATACATACACAAAAACGCTCAGGCACACAAGCACACGCACACACACTCTCATACAACAACACACACAGTCAGATAGCCTCCCCACTCACCTTATCACCGTGCCTACCCAGAGGTCTCCCATCACAGTACTAACCAGGCCCTGTCCTGCTTAGCTCCTGAGATGTAGAGAGCAGCCTTTCACATTTAATAATACATTTGTCCGAAAACAGCCTCATAAAGTAACTTCAAGGGACGCTGTGTTTTGGTTACACACTCGTCCATTCGTACTGTACACACACGGAGCATTAGCAGCTCTGGTTCAGGTGAAACTTCCTTGTGTTCGGCCGACGGTGACAGCGACAGTAGACTACACAAATCACAGCTCGTATTTACACTGGCTTCAAACAAAAGGAGAGACCAGGACGAGGCAGATGGTCCCGTTCTGACACCAGTGGGAAAGGAAACCAGCCCAGAGGAAGTGAGGATGTATGGAGACTGTGAGAAATGTGACGCGACTCACAGAAAGATGTCCATAAATAGTAAAAAAAAAAAAAAATAGAAATCTTTGGAAAAACGTCTGGTGATCCTCCTGCTCGTCTGTTTTATCTGAGGCACAGAACACACGTGCAAATGTACATTCTTGCAATTGCGCAATCCCGGGAAAACCATTCAGTATAATGCCTGAGAAGAAATATGAATTATGATGAAATCTGTATCAATTAGATTCAATCCCGAACAACTAAAAACATGTCCAATATGAGTGAGTGAATGGATGGACCCCAGTGTTCTGTCATCACTGTGTGGAGAGAATGGACAAATGTCTGAACTCGTAAAGCACTTTGGGTGACCTTGGTCTGTAAAAATGCGCCATACAAATAAACATTACATACTTACTTACACATCCATTTCTAAGATTTTGTCAAATCGTCATTAAAGGGCCCTAATTCTGCTCATATTCATATTCTCATATTCTACGCTGCTAAAGTACAATATACACATCTGTAAATACTTCTGAACCACGTGCAATTATAGCCCCAGAGTTCATTTTATTTTATTATTTTATTCTTTATCTTGACTTTATAGTCTACTATCTTAAATAATAGACTTATTTGATGTGTGCAATCTGAGTGCTCTTATTTCCTTCTTTCTCTGCTGTAATGTGCGCAACGATGACACTGAAATTTCTCTACTGTGAGATGAATAAAGGTTTATCTTGTCTTATCTCTAAATGTTGATGTCCCACCCTTCACCCTTTCCCCAATCAGAAAGTCAGTGATCCAGGTTGCCAGAACTCATTGCGTCGAGCTAATCCCACTGGTAAAGTAACCAGCCCCAGAACTTAAAAGGTTCTGGGGCTGGATTAAAGATTCTCAAATCATTAACGACAAAACAAGGAACAAACAAGATTTCTATCTTTGTGAAAAATGTGTTGGTTATAGATTTGTTGTTGACAAAACTCTTGTCTATTCAGAAATTATTATCCCAGCTGGATTTGTCTGCATATCTGGCAACCTGAGTCAGAGAGAGTGGGGGAGGTTCCCAGTACCACTTTTGGCCACATTTTTACGTACTGCTCCTTTAAGGATCCGACTGACAGCTCCATAGAACCGGCCCTCGCTCCAAACAGACGGATTTCAACAACGAAACACATCTGAAATCATTAGTGTGAACTGAAGTGGTTGTGTGTAGTTTTGTGTGTGACTGCTGACACTGCAGACAGAGGCAACCACACACACAAATACACACATACACACACACACACACACACACACACACTTTCTAAATCTGATCTTGAGTCTGTCTGAGTATTCCATCCATCTGACAGAAGGAAGTGCAGCTGAGCCAAGAGGAACAGCGGCTCCTCCACGGATCCTCACAGGACCCATCCAGGCTGCATTTAGACTCCTCACAGACACACCCTGGTCTGTGCCCTGGTCTGTGCCCTGGTCTGTACCCTGGTCTGTGCCCTGGTCTGTGCCCTGGTCTGTACCCTGGTCTGTGCCCTGGTCTGTGCCCTGGTCTGTGCCCTGGTCTGTACCCTGGTCTGTGCCCTGGTCTGTGCCCTGGTCTGTACCCTGGTCTGTGCACTGGTCTGTGCCCTGGTCTGTACCCTGGTCTGTGCACTGGTCTGTGCCCTGGTCTGTACCCTGGTCTGTGCCCTGGTCTGTGCCCTGGTCTGTACCCTGGTCTGTACCCTGGTCTGTACCCTGGTCTGTGCCCTGGTCTGTACCCTGGTCTGTGCCCTGGTCTGTGCCCTGGTCTGTACCCTGGTCTGTGCCCTGGTCTGTGCCCTGGTCTGTACCCTGGTCTGTACCCTGGTCTGTACCCTGGTCTGTGCCCTGGTCTGTGCCCTGGTCTGTGCCCTGGTCTGTGCCCTGGTCTGTACCCTGGTCTGTACCCTGGTCTGTGCCCTGGTCTGTACCCTGGTCTGTACCCTGGTCTGTGCCCTGGTCTGTGCCCTGGTCTGTACCCTGGTCTGTACCCTGGTCTGTACCCTGGTCTGTGCCCTGGTCTGTGCCCTGGTCTGTGCCCTGGTCTGTGCCCTGGTCTGTACCCTGGTCTGTACCCTGGTCTGTGCCCTGGTCTGTACCCTGGTCTGTACCCTGGTCTGTGCCCTGGTCTGTGCACTGGTCTGTGCCCTGGTCTGTACCCTGGTCTGTGCCCTGGTCTGTGCCCTGGTCTGTGCCCTGGTCTGTGCACTGGTCTGTGCCCTGGTCTGTACCCTGGTCTGTGCCCTGGTCTGTGCCCTGGTCTGTGCCCTGGTCTGTACCCTGGTCTGTGCCCTGGTCTGTGCCCTGGTCTGTACCCTGGTCTGTGCACTGGTCTGTGCCCTGGTCTGTACCCGGTCCTCCCCTCCCCCCTTCCTCCCCCCCTGCTCTCCTCTCAGGTTTCCTCTCGCTGCGCTCAGTCTAGACTTGGCACAGAGACACAACTGGGTCAAACATAACTGGTCCTGAGTCTTGTTGGACTGACTTTCCACTGACCCATTGCTTATATGTTGTTGACATTTTAAAACTTTTTTGCAGTACTGTGATTTGGACTTTTTGGTGGACAAAGTAAAACCAAAAAAGTTCCCCAACATTTTCTAAAATGATTGAATTTTTGGTAGCAGTCGGAGGGTCAAACCAATTGATTATTAGTGGCTATTTCATTTAGTTATGCTAATGAAGTAATTTTACTTTGAGCTATACAATACAATACAATACAATGTATTCTTGTATAGCCCTAAATCCCAACAAAAGTCATCTCAGAGACTTAACAAAACCATTGAAATCACCAACACAGATCAGAGAATCAACAGGTAAAACACAAAAAATACTGAACACATGTTAATAAATGTCCATACATGTAGAATGTATCCTGGATCATCAACACATCTTATTTACTGGGCACTAACTGTCCAACAGACCCTCCTGCATCGGCAAGGAAAAACTCTTAAAAAAACAGTGGGTAAAAAGTGAGAAACCTCGGGGAGAGCCAGGGAAACCAACAGGGAGACCCAGTTTGAGAAAGGGATCCGCTCCCACGGACGGACAGGCTGTAGATCCAGGACCTAAGCTACAGAACGTGGACCAGTGGCTGCTGAGTGTGGACAGGTCCAGTGCAGGACTGAAGCACTCCCAGGCGGGTCAGGCAGGGCTGTCCGCAGCTGTAGATGGAGGAGGAGGCCAGGTCCAGAGCTATAGAGACACGTAAGGTCATGGTGTGGATTTTTGTTTTGTACACTCACTCTCTCCATATTGACAGTATTGCACACTCACTTTGTCAATATCTACAGTATTGCACACTCACTTTATACATATTTACAGTATTGCACACTCACTTTGTCAACATCTACAGTATTGCACACTCACTTTCTACATATTTACAGTATTGCACACTCACTTTCTCCATATTGACAGTATTGCACATGCACTTTCTCCATATTTACAGTATTGCACATGTACTTTCTACATATTTACAGTATTGCACACTCACTTTCTCCATATTTACAGTATTGCACATGTACTTTCTCCATATTTACAGTATTGCACATGTACTTTCTCCATATTTACAGTATTGCACATGTACTTTCTCCATATTTACAGTATTGCACATGTACTTTCTCCATATTGACAGTATTGCACATGTACTTTCTCCATATTTACAGTATTGCACATGTACTTTCTCCATATTGACAGTATTGCACATGTACTTTCTCCATATTTACAGTATTGCACATGTACTTTCTCCATATTGACAGTATTGCACATGTACTTTCTCCATATTGACAGTATTGCACATGTACTTTCTCCATATTGACAGTATTGCACAGACCTGCCACCGCTGTGGGCCTCATTACCTGACTGTAAACACATTTCTCTGGTCCTGGCTGTAGCTGGACAAGAGCAGAGTTCTCACATTATGCTCAAAGTGATGCATTCCTCGGTCACGGTGCAGATATTAGAATAAAGTGTTTGTCGCCGCAGATCGGATCCATTTCACACACAGCTCCACGCCTCGTCTACGGCCCAGAAGAATCATTATTTTCCTGCTCATGAGAACCACAACCGTTAAAAAAATGACAACCATGCTAATTTCTCTGTTTTTCCCAGTTATAAACATGAGACATTCTTTGACATACTTGAGTATTTCAGGCTTCTAGCTCAGAGATTTTGTATTTTTTATTACATTTTATTAACATACAAAATACATTACATCATTAGCATTCATACCAATCAGAGAATAGACTTTAAAAAGCTCTGTTTGTTACAAGTTGCTCCATGGCCCCACTCCAAGGTACAACTGTGACATGTTAGTGCCATATGGACCAATTGGGACTCTGAGAAGCACAGGGACTGGTCTCCTGTTCGGACTCTGAGAAGCACAGGGACTGGCCTCCTGCTGGGACTCTGAGGAGCACAGGGACTGGCCTCCTGCTGATGCCCAGAGTCGGGACTAAACATGGGAAGGCAGCGTTTCAGATGGATGCAGCTCAAATCAGTCTTCTGAAAATGTGAGACAGGCTTCTTCTCTGACAATCTTCAAATCCAGGTCAAAACAGTTAAGTGCTACAACTGAAGGATTGTCGCCCTGTAACTCCGATACTTTATCTGTGTGTATCTATTGAATCTGCTTCGAAATTGACCTTGCAAATTAAAAGTACTGTGAAATTGCTGATGATCAAAGATTACACTAAATGCTTTGGTGAAGAGTTTGTTAATAAAGGCCAGTTGTTGGAGCCTGAATGCTGCTGTTTTGACGATTCTCTGCCTCAGGGGGTTTCTCTCAAATGTCACTGCCAAAAAGTGCTTGCGATGATTATCAAATGTAACTTGTGACAAAGCTTTCAGATACAAAGACTGGCTTCATTTCGCTTCTGCAACATCAACCTTAGAACGTCCCCCATGACCTGCCTCCAAACCAGAACACACACACACTGCAAAAATACACTTTGGTTCCAGGCGATCTAAAATGTAATTACTTACGCGTGTAATTTTCTACCATCAGAAGCATTCCATTATGGATTTAGGGTCATTGTCCTCCATTCTCTTGCTGACTTGAGTTGATTATATTTAAAATTTTCCTTGTATTTGGCTCCATCCTTGCCTGGTCGTACCACACCATAGTACAAATTACATTTCAAATTACATTAACTCCTTTTGCAGATTGAAACGATTGGATATGAGTTTACTGTGATGTATGTAATGCACCTGAGTGAGTCGTTAGCATTTAGCATTTAGCCTAGCCATCTCCTTTGCTGCTAACGGAGTCCGTGGGGAGGAGCCATGGATCTATAGCGATAACCGGAGTAGCGCCACAATCTTTGCCTGCAATTACATTTGCTGGAAAGGAATAACATTCTACTTGCCCTGGCTTCAATTTCTTGATAGAACCAGAACGGATTACTTTACTATCGCATTCTTCTCCATTACCAAACTAAAACCTGCCTGAAATGATGATTGACCGGAGTGTATGGATGGCCAAGACCAGGCTAGCTCCATTCCTCTTCCCAGCTATTCTTACAATCATCTCAGTCCCAGCAGAAGAAAAGCAGCCCCATAGCATGATGCTCCCCCCACATTACTCTACAGGCGGCACGGTGGCTGAGTGGATATAACTCTCGCTTCTCAGCAAGTAAGAAAGACATTTATATAGCGCATTTTACAAAACAAAGGTCACCCAAAGCGCTTTACAGTGTTCAGAAATCAGATATTTTTCCGTTCACACACGGAAGCGAGACGCCGAGATCAACACCATCCATTCAATCACTCGTTACATTCATGCTTATTGTACACGTTTTTAGTGGTTGGGGAAACCGCAGCACCCAGAGGAAACCTACGCAGACACGGGGAGAACATGAAAACTCCACTCCGAAAGGACTTGTTTCGACCGGGATTCAAACTGAGAGTGCTATCCACTCAGCCACCGTGCAAGAAAGTACTAGCTTTGAATAAAGGAAGTTTTCACCTCTCTCCATCTTAATATCACTAGTTTTAAGAAATATTACCATACTTTTGTCAGTTCTGGAGTGTTTTTCCTCTTTCTTTTTTAACATTTTTGTCTTTTCTCCGTCACTTCCCTCTGCTAGCTAGTGTGGGGCTAATCCCATTACACACGTGTGAATAGCAGCTGGAGCCGAGAGGAACAGAGAGGCCAGTGTCCCGCCCGCTCGCTCCAAACCCCTCGGAGTGATGTCGTCGTCAACAAACCGCCATAAAGCAGTGCATTATGGGAGCACTGCTGGTATGTGCAGTTTATGGTCACGAGAGAGAGACGGCGAAGGAGGAGGAGGACAATCGGGCTGAGCTGATTTATCTGACATTAATGAAAATAATACAGTGAGGAGATTTAAGTGCCACAGCTGCATTCATTTGTTTACAGCACACAGAAAGTGAAATAAAAAAAACAGAGAGTGCAAAAAGCCACAATGTTTAATATGTCCTACCAATAATACAGTGGTTCTCAAAGTGGGGGCCGAGGCACAATGCAGTACCCTGGGGAAGCAAATCGACATTTTGAACCCATGTCACTCTTTCTCCCATTATTTGACAATTATTTACTCATTCTTTCCCACTATTTGTATTTAACTCAGCGGAAGGGTGTGATTTCATATATTTTTTGAGCCCTGAATAAAACGTTTGAAAAGAACTGGTATAGTACAACCATATTTGTGAGTCTTTTCCCATGACAACGGTTGCTAAGGAGCTTTTGCTGGCTCTTGGCTGGTTCATAAAGTCGTCCCTTTACTCAAACATGTGTACTTACTGTATATTCATATATTTTTTCTAGCACCCATTTTAGTACCATATTAAACTTATGCATAATCCATACTTTGTCATGATCTGGATATTTTGTTATTTGGTTTTTATTTTGACATAAATTCTTTATTTCTGGTTTTTAGTTTTACTTCCTTGCTTTTCTCCTGTTGATTGTCTGCACCGCCCTCACTTCTTTCCCCTGTGTTTCTCTGTCTCTCTGTAGCTGTGCTGCTGCTTGTTTCTGTTCCATTGTCCGAGTCTGTCCGTTTTCCTGGTTCCTGTGTTCTGTTTCGATGGTTTTGATTGTTTTTTTTACCTTGAACTATTCTATACCACCATTAAATCTTTTTTGTTGTTGTTGTACACATTCCTGCAAATATAGGTCCTCCATTTTGACGCTTCTTGATTTTGATCTTGACATCCTCATCTTGAAAACTGACTGTTTCGTCTACACTGATGAAATATGAGGTTATAATTTCTTGAATTGGGCGTTTTTTAGCTACATTCCGACTGTTTTAAATCTAGAATCTCCAATGGGACAAAGCCATTTAGTCTTATTTCAAAAACTGCTGCTTTATTTTTAAAACAAGACCATTTTGCTTTTTCCCATCGGATAATCTTGTGCAGTCAGATACATTTAGCCAACTTTGAGCTGTTTTTGACTTATTCCTCACCCTATTTTTCAGTGTAAATAGATGAGTTAATTGATAAATAATAACAAATATTAGAGAGTGATTGTTGTGGCCG